TAGTAAAAATCAAGAGTGAAATACTAACTGCCCTCTTCTCCACGTGCAGCAATGACCGAGACTAATTTATTTACTCTAATTCTCCCCTTTCTAGTCTGCTAATATAACTTGAGCTCTGATAACATTGTAGTTATTATTTCAAATGTTATATCTTCTCCTTAAATAATTATTTATATATCTGCATTTAATTATTTGGTCATATTTACAAAATTATTTTTATTTAAATTTATCTTTTTCTTCAACTCATCTGCAGTCATTTAACACTAGGATTTTCCTTTCTTAAACTGTTAAATACTATTAATTTGTTTCTTAGCTTGAATAAATTTCTAAATGTATTTGTAGATTACTTATTAAAGTAGGTAAGGCCATGATTATATACAAACCTTGGCTGGTTACATTTATCACCATTTATTTTTCCCCTAAGAAGGATAATGTACATTTTGTCTGGTAATAGACATCTATGATTACAGTGTTTATTTTTTGTTTAATTCCCCCTTCAAATCTCTAAATGTTACTGTACTGTTTCCTAACACGATGATGAGGTGTTCAAAGTTCTCTTTTTTTTCTGTTTAATTATCAGTCCATCATTTTTTAGGAGTATCTTTGTGATTTTGTAGGCAGGAGTTAACTAGCACCCTTTCTTGTTCATGTTAGGAGCCTGTTGAGGTAATCTCTACGTTACCTAGAGAGAAACTCCACTTTGAGAAGCTGTGCACAAATACTGTGGCTGCTGGTCTACATTTTTTCAAGGCCTGTTATTGACTACTCATAGTTCATATGTGTTCCCAACTTCTGCCTCTTGGTCGGTGCTTAGGGTTTTTATTTTTATTTTGTTTTTTACATTATGGTGGGAAATCCCATATATCTTGTGGACACCTGCATTCAATTTTGGACTTTTTGTTATTAGAACGGTTATTCTTTAGTTGGGCCTCATTTACTTCATAACTTTAAATTGCCCTCCCTCCCCTCCCCTCCCTCATCCCCTCCCCCTCCCCTCCCCCTTCCCCCTTCCTTCCTTTCCTCCCTTCCTCCCTTCCTCCCTTCTTTCCTTCCTTCCTTCCTTCCATCCTTCCTTCCTTCTTTCCTTCCTTCCTTCCTTTCTTCCTTCTGTAGGACTACCACATTTTTCCTTGATTTTTGTCTGTTTCAATAATAATTAGTAATAGATATACTTTCCACATTTTCCTCTAAATTATGAAAGGCTTTCTCAAGTTTCCTCTTTCAAGTGTTATTCTGCAGTTAACTTCCTCAACTATGGATTTTAATTATATTTTTACATGTTAATTTCCTTGAAATCTTTTATCTTACTCTACTACCTTTCATCTCAGCATCAAGGCTTTTCATTGTGGTTTATTATCCTGAGCTTTATTAAAGATGCATAAAGGTCTTGTAAAAATAACTTCTGGTTCCTGTGAGAAATCATTTTCAGAATTATGACCTTCTCTGATTTTGAGACTGATATTTTCTTTAGCCTTTGCTAAAGGCTATTTTCACTGGTCTTGTGTAGATCCCTCTTCTTCACTTTCCAGTTACTTTTTCTAGAACCAGGAGAAATATGGTAAAAGGATATTTTTAAATAAAAAGTTTGTGTTCACAGCATTCATAACAAAGTTGGTAAAAATTACAACACTCAGTGTGTGATGTTATCAGGGAGCTTCCTGTGTTCTCCTTACTCTTTGATAGTCTACCTGTGAGGAGAAAATGCACTTCTGTATTCCAATTTTATCATCCCCACTCCTGTCTTCTCTCATCCCACATACCTATAGGTACTATATATTGATACTGGATGTTATCATCTCTGAATAAATATGGGGAGATAAGGATGAGCCCAGAAATAATACTCTCTTGCTACTTAAAAAAATCAGGGCCTCAAGATAAAGGATTAGCTGTACTTTCTGTGAGATTCTATGCAAAACAGTAGAGATAATTTTTTTCTTTAAAATATTTTTTGTTTTACTCTCTTTTGGGGAAAACAAGGCTGCTGTGTTTCAAGAAGTGGCATGTGGTTGCTCCTTACTGCTTTCAGCTTCGTCAACTTTATGGTTTATGGAAATTCTCTGTAAGTTGATATTATTAGTGACGTCTCTTTCCTTCTGTTTTCAGGATCATGTGAATTTTTGATATTGTCTGTGCTTTCTGAAATATTTATAGCAATGTTGAAATAAGTTGTGCAAGGGTTACTACTTAGAGACATTTTAATTCCATGAAAAAAATAAAATCTAGTAATTGAGAAAATGGATATAGAGGAGTAAGAAGAACCTAAGAAAACTTTTAAATGCTGATGTTCCTAACCTCTATAAATGTGTGCATGTATGTATATATTGTTATTTTGGACAAGTAAACCTCAGCTCAGTTTCTTTATTTACAAAATTAGAGCAAATATATTATACTTACATATTATTTTGTATAACTTTAATTTCACGGCAATGTGAAACCAAGTCAATATGCGGATACTTGAGACTTTCTGTATTTTAATGAGTTCACAAAGAAGCTAGTGCTGTATGAAAATTTCTAGCCCAATCCAATTTGAGTTCTTCTTTCTATGGCATTGATTTTCAATTTTACTTTAGTTTTTAACAAACTGCAGTTCATAAGTATAAATGTTTCTGTTTTTGATGAAAGCATTTTCATTCACAGACAATTTTGTGATTAGCAGAATTAATTAAAAATAGTGTGTTTCTGGTGAAGCATTTCCCTACCATAAGTGGCTGACACTGATGGATCTTTCTCAATCCATAGTTCAATGAGACTACCCTAGGTTAGCTTTAATTTTCCAGATTGAAAAGAGAAAAGAAAAATGAAAACCTCCTGATTATGAAGTATATTCAATGGAAAAGAAGTTTTATGAACTCTATGAGTATCTTCTCTTTTAATTGACTATAATGTGAAGTATAAATGATAAGTAGTCTGGGGAATGACTTATCCTCTATCTTGGTGGTCATTGGGACAGAATTCTTCTTCCAGTCACTCTATGACTTTAATGAGAAAGTTATCGAACTCATATCTTTTTTACTTCAAACAAATAGTATATAATTGAATACAATTTAGCATTCTGGACCTAGTCATCTTACATAGAGCATTTCATTCAAATCTCACAAAAGTCTCTAAAAAGTGAGTTTTGCTGTGTTTTCTTTACAGACAAGTAAATTAAGATTGGGATAGGGTACATAAGTTGTCCTATAACATGTACCTAATTAGTGGCAAAGCTAAGATTTCATCTTGATGTTTCTGACTCTAAAGTTCATGTTCATGAGATTTTATCTTCTTCATTTTGCAGAAACTTGACTACATTTGCATAACCAAACAGGACTTTCTTTATTGCACATGACAAGTAGTGCAGTGCTAAGGAAATCTTCAAGACCCAAGCTTCTTCTAGTTACCTTTTCTGTCATGTATAGCAGGTGATTTTTATCCTCCTTGTTGTAAGAAGGCTGCTGTGTCTCTGGTATCATGCAATATATGCATTACAAGCAGGAGGAAGAGGATGAGCAAGGAGTAAAATAACACCTGTTATTTAATTAAAAATTTTTTGTCTTCACCAGAAAAATAATAGCTTACCTGGAAGCCTTCATAATATGCTTCCATTTATAGCTCATTAACCAAATCTACACGTAGGGCTATTCTAAACTTCAAGGGAATCTAGGCAGTCAATTTTAATCAAACTTACTGAAATATAAATTAGATACCATGAACTTCCTACATTAATGTACACAGGGCAAATGCGTACATTCATGTAATCACTACTCCAGTCAAGATACAGAGAATTCCATCTTGAGGGAGCAAACTTAATTGAGCATCTTGTCATCTTGAACAAAATTCAGGTTCTATTAGAAAAGGAGACAAATAGTATTAGGTGGGCAATAGGCAGCGCCTGCAACACTAAGGTTACATATGGACATTTATGTAATGGTTTAGAAGCTGAATTGCAAGACAGAAAATACTTCTTGATGAGAGAACACTTGAGTTACAACTAACCTAGCTTAAAAAGGAAACTCAGATAAGTCCCTCAGACCTATTAATGTCTCAGTTTTCTAATATGAAAACAGGTCTTAAAAGATCTTAAAGGTGTCAAAAATTGTTTTTCAAATCAAATGAAATAATTTATGTGAAAGCACATCAACATCTGTAAAGCCCTATATAATGTAAAGAATTGTCTTTAATTTTCATAATCAGAAAAGTTTGATTTAGAAAATGATGATGACCTTGAACTTATGGGCCTGAAATATCACAGTTGTGAAATTCAACTATTCTTGTAAAATATACTAACTTTTAAATGTATTAATTGCATACAAATCAAGGCAATAAACAGCTATAGGCACAAAACATTTTTAATTGCATTCTTATCCGTTCTCTTTCAAACTATTTTTTATTTAAGTAAAAAAATCACAGATTTGTAATTTTCAAAACCTTCAAAATATACGTACATTTATAACTAACACATTATTGTGTGATTTCCCAGTTTTTATAATATTTAAAAAATAATGCTTAGTCTTTTGTTCATGTGAAATATAAATTTTATTTTGAGAAATTGTACTTTTTGCAAAAGCAAAGAATGTTGAATCTTTGGAGTATCTTAGAGAAAGCCCATCTTTAAAAAATTGCTGTCTTTGGAGAAGAAAATCATCTGTTGAAAGTCACCTCATGGAATCAGTTGCAAGAGGTTAAAAATTAAAACCTATTGTGAATTTTGGGGGGCACTCTAGAACCAGAGCCCCTGATTGCTTGTTGTTCAGGATCTATGAAGAAATGTGATTATTTGTAGTATTTATTACTCAGATTCATCAGAGCACTACTCTGAACTCAAACATCTTACCTAAATGTGCCTCCTCTTTGCAGATTTTTACCATAAGTGAGAGCCAATACTAATATTTATTGAAAATAAATATATCTGGTAATCCAGACATGTCTTTCCTCTGGCCTATTACCTTTTTTTACATTAAAAAGTTGATTATTATTATTTTCCATTACAATCTTTATCCTTTTGTCCATAAAATTTTCAGGTTGGATTCAGTACTGGCTTTATTGGTCCTTGGGGAGGCTGCCAAATTAAACATGGGCTGCTTGAAAGCTTTAATGGACCTAGTGAAAGATTTTGTTTCAAGCATTATGTCTGTTCAAAATCAGGTAACATTGCTAATTTATATGAGAAAAGAGAACTGAAGAGAAAGAGATTTTATTTTTGCCACTATTTAAATTGTATATCCTATTAGGGCATATAATGTGTATAACTGTAATAATAATTTTAATTAAATATAAAAGCAAATTCACCTTAACCGTTTATCATAAACATTTTTCATTTTCATTACATAATATTAAAATTTGTATTTTGGTTGAGGTAAGATAACTTATGGAAACATTTCTGTATTGTTGATTATTAAATTTGTTTCTAATTGTTCACAGTTAATTAGAAGTAATGTTGAATTGTTATTGTCCTACATAAAATCTCTATGTACACTTCTGTTTCTTTAGAGTAGGCTATACCAAGTGAAAGACTATGAAGTTTCTTTCCAAGTTTTTAGGACAGATGTCCAAATTACTTTCCATAAGATATATTAATAACTTTCTTGCATTCCTATGAACAATAAATGAAATTGTCACACCTAGAATTGAGCTGTATATCAAAAGATTCCTTTTGAATGTAATATGGGAAATAGTATCTCATTGGATTAATTTTCATTCCATTAACTGCTACGTAAATTGCAAAGTTGTTTTTTATATAATTATTAGCTATTTATATTTTTTATTCTTTGAACTGTATGTTATGCAGTCTATTCATGGCAAACCTGTTTTTGAATGAACACATTTAGAAATATTATTTTATTGTGGTCTTTTAACAACCCCATAAAGTTTGAAGATAGTTATTATAAGTACACTATATAGTTATTAATATGCAAAGACATACTTTGATGATCAAATATCTATTTTCTTATTTCAGGAGGAAAGTTGCAAGGTAGAAGATTTTTCCTGGGCCTGGAATGTAGTCTACATATATACAGTAATTCTTGCAGAAATCTGCATGTATGCGGCCACTTCTGATTTGCGAAAAACTGCTTTGATCGGTTTCTGTCACTGTAAAAGTTCCCGAAAATATATTTTACACCTGGACAAATCAGTACAGCCAGAATTAAAGGAAACAAGTATTTTAAGTCTTTTGGAATATTTCTCTTCCAAAATGTCAGATAATTGTAAGTAGATTGTTTTTACACTTTGAGAGTAATTTTTTAAGTGTCCCTGTCTATATATAGTAACAAGCATTTTACAAAAGTTAATATTTAGAAATAGAAAAAAATTTTAAATTCCTAAAATTTAAAGTATATAACATATATATATTTACTAAGGCCAAGTGTCACTCAGTCTGTTACTTAAGCTGCAGTGCAGTGGCACGATCTCTGCTCACTGTAACCTCCTCCTCTGGTTCAAGCGATTCTCCTGCCTCAGCCTCCTGAGCAGCTGGGACTATAAGCACTTGCTACCACGCCTGGCTAAGTTTTGTATTTTTAGTAGAGCCGGGGTTTTGCCATGTTGGCCAGGTTGGTCTCAAACTCCTGACCTCAAGTGATCTACCACGTCAGTCAAAGTTCTGGGATTACATGCGTGAGCCACCACACCCAGTTAGAAAGTTTTTATCAGTAATTTTAAAACAACTGAAATGGAAACTAGATTCAGTTGACTGATTATTCAAATTATATTTCTTGAAAACGAAAGCTGCATTTAAGCAAACCTGGGTAATATATATGAAGTTTATTTCCTCTTTATTTTTATTTTGTTCCCCATAGGATTTATCTTCTCTCCTCCATTTTCTCTAGGCATTTACTGTTTCCCTCTTGTTTTTTTCCTGCCCAGAGGAATTCTCTACAATTACTTCACTCAATTATTCTAGTACAATAGTTATATCTGACATCTTATAGTCCATCAAATAGTAGCTATCTTATGTCTCAAGACTAAAGGTCATTTTGCCTTTGTATTTATGAGAGATAATAGAATAAAATACTTTGATTTTTCAAAGAGTACTATGGGGACAATATTAGTCTTTTTTGGTTGAATAAAACTTTATAGGTTTATTGAGACAAATAATTGCAGTTTGTATATTGTTGTAGTCTATTGTGTATGTGACTCTCACTTCCATTAAATGCTAAGATAATGGAGACTGAAGAATCATGTCTGAATTACATTTTCATTAACCCAGCATCTAGCATGATAACACATAATTATGATAGTGGATTTGTAACATAATTAAATAAATCATTTAATTTCAGATATAATTGCAAGATTTTGAAAATATTGAAAGAGGTAAGATATAATCTTTAGCCAGAACCACAATTCATTGATTTTGGGGAATTTATGCTTAAATATAATTTTAAATAGTAAGACTTTAGAAGTAGATGAAAATTTCATTCTCAGAAATTTTATTTACATTGCTTTCAATATATTTTTTGCTTAATCAATAGATTGAAACCCAGCATTTCTAAGTGGAGTTAGGTCGACCTTTTCCCTCTTTTTAAGCTTTTATTTTTTTATTGGTGCCAATTTTAAACAGATCTTTATTCTTAAGTATGCAAATTATATTTCTTTCATGTTTATATTATTAATGAAGTGAAGATACAGGTATTCATTTCTTTTCCTGTTCACAATTTTAATTATTGGGAATGTCAGAAATTTTCATATATAACAGCTCAATACATGATTTTTACTAAACAGACTCATCTACATTTTTGGCCGTCAATTCTTGTCTGGCTATGTAGGTTAGTTTTTCCTGACTTCTAGTGGCAGGTCCAGAAAAGGCCCTCTATGGGAAGAACCTTTACTCCCAGAAACCTCTTGGCTTCCCTTTGGTCATGTCCTCCGAACTCTTACATAACCTTATGATGATGGGATTAAATGTTTCTGCGGACATTCACAAAACTCACATTTTTTTTCCTCCTTAACAGTATGATTTTTAACAAGTTTATTATTATACTTTAAGTTCTGGGATACATGTGCAAAACGTGCAGGTTTGTTATATAGGTATACATGTGCCATGGTGGTTTGCTGCAACCATCAGCCTGTCATCTAGGTTTTAAGCCCCGCATGCATTAGGTATTTGTCCTAACGCCCTCCCTTCCTTCCTCCCTCCACCACCGACAAGCACTGGTGTGTGATGTTCCCATCCCTGTGTTCTCATTGTTTAAATCACACTTATGAGTGAGAACATGCAGTGTTTGGTTTTCTGTTCCTGTGTTACTTTGCTAAGAATGATGGTTTCCAGCTTCATCCACATCCCTGCAAAGAACATGAACTCATTCTTTTTATGGCTGCATAGTATTCCATGATGTAAATGTGACACATTTTCTTTATTGAGTCAATCATTGATAGGCATTTGGGTTGGTTTCAAGTTTTTGCTATTATGAATAATGTTGCAATAAACATGTGTGCATGTGTTTATAGTAGAATGATTTACAATTCTTCGGGTATATACCCAGTAATGGAATTACTGGGTCAAATGGTATTTCTAGTTCTAGATCCTTGAGGAATCACCACACTATCTTTCTTAATGGTTGAACTAATTTACACTCACACTAGCAATGTAAAAGCATTCCTATTTCTCTACATCCTCTCCAGCATCTGTTGTTTCCTGACTTTTCAATGATCAAGATTCTAACTGGTATGAGATGGTATCTCATTGAGGTTTTGATTTGCATTTCTCTAATGCCCTGTGATGATGAGCTTTTTTTTCATATGTTTGTTGGCCCCATAAATGTCTTCTTCTGAGAAGTGTCTGTTCATATTTTTCACCCACTTTTTGATGGGGTTGTTGTTGTTTTTTTTTTCCTGTAAATTTGTTTAAGTTTCTTGTAGATTCTAGATATTAGGCCTTTGTCAGAAGGATAGATTGCAAAAATTTTCTCCCATTCTGTAGGTTGCCTCTTCACTCTGATGATAATTTCTTTTGCTGTGCAGAAGCTCTTTAGTTTAATTAGATTCCATCTGTCAATTTTGGCTTTTGATGCCATTGCTTTTGGTGTCTTAATCATGAAGTCTTTGCCCATGCCTATATCCTGAATTGTATTGCCTAGGTTTTCTTCTAGGGTTTTTATGGTTTTAGGTCTTACATTTAAGTCTTTAATCCAATTGAGTTAATTTTTGTGTAATGTGTAAGGAAGGGGTCCAGTTTCAGTTTTCTGCATATGGCTAGCCAGTTTTCTCAACACTGTTTATTAAATAGGGAATCCTCCCCCTATTGCTTGTTTTTGTCGGGTCTGTCAAAGATCAGGTGACTGTAGATGTGTGCTGTTATTTCTGAGACCTCTGTTCTGTTCCATTTGTCTATATATCTGTTTTGGTACCAGTACAATGCTGTTTTTGTTACTGTAGCCTTGTAGTATAGTTTGAAGTCAGGTAGCAGGTTGCCTCCAGCTTTGTTCTCTCTCTTTAGGATTGTCTTGGCTATATGGGCTTCTTTTTGGTTCCATATGAAATTTAAAGTAGATTTTTCTAATTCTGTGAAGAAATTCAGTGGTAACGTGATGGGAATAGCATTGAATCTATAAACTACTTTGGGCGGTGTGGCCATTTTCATGATATTGATTCTTCCTGCCCATGAGCATGGAATATATTTACAATTGTTTTTGTCCTCTCCTATTTCCTTGAGCAGTGGTTTGTAGGTCTCCTTGAAGAGGTCCTTCATGGCCCTTGTAAGTTGTATTCCTAGGTATTTAATTTCCTTCTAGCAATTGTGAATGGGAGTTCACTCATGATTTGGCTGTCTATTATCGGTGTATAGGAAAGCTTGTGATTTTTTGCACATTGATTTTGTATCCTGAGATTTTGCTGAAGTTGCTTATCAGTTTGAGGAGTCTTGGGGTTAAGACGATGGAGTTTTCTAAATATACAAATATGTCATCTACAAACAGAGACAATTTGACTTTCTCTTTTCGTATTTGAATACCCTTTATTTCTTTCTCTTGCCTGATTTCCCAGGCCAGAAATTCCAATACTATGTTGATAGGAGTGGTGAGAGAGGCATCCTTGTCTTGTGCCAGTTTTCAAAAGGAATGCTTCCAGCTTTTGCCCATTCAGTATGATATTTGCTATGGATTTGTCATTAGTAGTTCTTATTATTTTGAGATGTGTTCCATCAATACCCAGGTTTTTGAGTGTTTTTAGCATGGAGGGGTGTTGAATTTTATCAAAGCCTTTTCTGCATCTATTGAGATAATCATGTGATTTTTGTCATTGGTTCTGTTTATGTGATAGATTACGTTTATTGATTTGTGTATGTTAAACCAGGCTTCCATCTTGGGGATGAAGCCAACTTGATCATGGTGGATAAGCTATTTATATGCTGCCTGATTCAGTTTGCCTGATTTTGTTGAGGATTTTTGCATTGACATCCATCAGGGATATTGGCCTGAAATTTTCTTTTTTTGTGGTATCTCTATCAGATTTTGGTATCAGGATGATGCTGGCCCCGTAAAATGACTTAGGGAGGAGTCTCCCTTTTTCTATTGTTTGGAATAGTTTCAGAAGGAATGATACCAGCTCCTCTTTGTACCTCTGATAGAATTCAGCTATGATTTCCTATGGTTCTGGGCTTCTTTTGGTTGGTAGGCTATCAATTACTGCCTCAATTTCAGAACTTATTATTGTTCTATTCAGGGATTCAACTTCTTCCTGGTTTAGTCTTAGTACAGTGTATGTGTCCAGGAATTTATCCATTTCTTCTAGATTTTCTAGTTTATTTGCATAGAGGTGTTTATAGTATTCTCTGATGGTAGTTTGTATTTCTGTGGTATCAGTGGTGATATCATTTATCATTTTTTATATTGCCAATTTGATTCTTCTCTCTTTTCTTCTTTAATAGTCTGCCTAGCAGCTTATCTATTTTGTTAATCTTTTCAAAAATCAACTCCTGGATTTGTTGATTTTTTGAAGGGTTTTTCATGTCTCTGTCTCCTTCAGTTCTGCTCTGATCTTAGTTATTTCTTGTCTTCTGCTAGTTTTTGAATTTGTTTGCTCTTGCTTCTCTAGTTCTTTTAACTGTGTTGTTAGGGTGTCGATTGTAGATATTTTTCACTTTTTTATGTGGGCATTTAGTACTATAAATTTTCCTGTTAACACTACTTTAGCTGTGTCCCAGAGATTCTGCTACATTGTGCATTTGTTCTCATTGATTTCAAAGAACTTATTTATTTATATCTTAATTTCA